AACTTTTGTAACTTTCATGAGTTTTTCAAGCAAATCACTGAACCCGAGTGCGATCCTGGGGATCCCGGGTACAGTGACTACACACCTAGAAGGTTGTGCCACTGTCTAATCTCATCAAGTCCACAGTGTGGGACACCCAGTTCTACTCTGTCCTATCCAGCTGCTATGACTTGGAACCCACTTGAGGGCTAGGAGTGTTTTTGTTTGGTTTTGTTTTAATAGGGTTGTGGTGAAGATTAAATGAGGCAATATTTAAAAGATAGTTACACAGTAAGTACTATGTAAGTGTTTGGAGAAGAGAATGCAGGAGTTATAAAAGACAGAGGAATTACTGTAAAATGGAAGAGAGCAACAAGATAATGCGATACAGATGCCGTAGCCCCTGGGCAGCTGGGATAGAGGAGTTACATCTCTATCTGGTAAAACTCGGAGGATATTTTGTGTAAATTCTCATTACATCATCACTTACCTTCTGTTGGCTACCCTCGCCTCTATTTCCTCTTGAGCTGTCTTCACAGTACAGGAAAACAGCTACCACATGTGAAATAAAGCTGTGGTTCAGAAGAGCAAACCCAGTTTTGAAAGGAACATTTCAAAGGAAAAGGAGGACCCTGGCTGTCTAATATATTTCACCAACTCTGATCATTACCAAGGGAGGAAGAGTGGAAATGGTTCTAACCAAGTCCATCTGCTGCTAATACTTAGGGAGCTCTGTCAAGTTTAAGGAGGACTTTATTATTAATTTAAGGAGGAATTAAACTCACACCAGGATAATCATACAGTATTTGATACTGTTAAGCACTGTGGAGTTGGTTTTGACTCACAGTTATCCTGTATAGGGTTTCTGAGGACCAGTTCGTGGGTTTGAACCACCAATCTTGTGATTAGTATTCTAGTGCTTATCCTACAGTACCGTTCTCTAGGACTGCATTAAATCTTTACAGGAGCAGAAAGCTTCACCCTTCTCATAAGCAGTGTCTGCTGGGCTCAAAGCACTGCCCCTGTGGTTTGCAGTCCAGTGCTTATCCTATAAACCCGCTGTGCTCCGAAAGGATAGCAAATTTTTTAAAAAAGCATTACAAAATGACAAACGAGTGTTTTCTAATTCTGCTCCAATGAATTTCAGAAGCTTGCTGAAAATTCCCATAGCTCTTACATCTGCATTCCTGCCTACTGTGAGTATTCTGCATGTATGTATTCAGATAGCAGTGGGTTTTTCACAGACAGCTACACCCACATGCTCCATAAATGCCATTTGCGTACTTATCTAAATAGAAAAGTACTTGTAAAACAGAAAAGCGTTCTGATGAAAGCAACTGCACAGAAGCGGAACTCTATCAGGAGCAAAGAAGAAAATACAACCTCGTCCAACAACTGGCTCACAAGTAGTAACAATGAAATCTAGTCTCCAAAGGCGGCACATCTGTGTTTGATTAAATCTAGTCTCCAAAGGCGGCACATCTGTGTTTGATTAAATCTAGTCTCCAAAGGCGGCACATCTGTGTTTGATTCCTTTTGTACTATTTCTTTTTTTACGTGCATAACAAGCATGTCATTTAAAAACAGCAAATACAGACAAGACAAAAGAAAACAAATAATAATTTGGATGGTCATCTTGAGAGAGCCGTCACTGGGAAACCTATTTCCAGACTGGAAGTCTTTAAAAAAACATCCCACTGCCCTCTCCGTAAGCCTTCACCCAATTGACAATAAAAAGAAAACAAAGATATAATTTTTTAAATATCCCACTTCTGTTTCTTAAACCAAACAACGAGGAGTGTGAGCTGAAATGGGAAGAGCAACAGATCTGCACACAATCCTCCCTTGTCACTGACTAATTTGTATGACACCCGGACTGAATCCAGGGGTCTCAATTTCCCCACCTATCCAAGATTGTGAATCCTAGTGTGGTGCCGTAGGATAACTGTAAGGTCTGTGGTTCAAACTCACCATCCGCTCCTTGGAAACCCTATATGGGTTGTTAGGAGTACTTAACAACTACAACATCAATCCAAGACAGCTGGACATCACAAAACTCGTGGATGCGGTCATTCTTGTCATAGACCATATGGACATAATCTTCAATTATTTGTCATAGAATTTTCTTTCCTTAACTAGATTAAAGAATTCCTCCAAAAGTTTAGGGTAATCTATTTGCAAAGCAATCCCTCTGCTATGGTTTTGAATTGTATACCTCTAGAATATAGTTCAAGGAATCCTGCTGTGACACCATAGGATAAGCACTAGACTGCTAACCGCAGGGTTATCAGCCATTCCTTGGAAACCCTATACGGGGTTGCTATAAGTCAGAACCGATTCAACAGCTGTTGACAACAGCAGCAAACGTATATTCACATCCTATGTGGCACCGTAGGGTCAGCATTGAATTTTGAACTACAAGGTTGGCAGTTCAGACCTACCAGATATACACGGTGGCTGTGAGTCGGAACTGACTCAATGGCCCTTAGCAACACCACCACCTGTTATCTGTGAATGGGACCTATTAGGAAACAGGGGAATTATAGGTGTATTTGGTGAAGTTACACACAGTCATATGGAGAAGGGTGGGCCCTACTCCAATATGATTAGGTCCTAACAAACTGAGAAGAAACACAGGCGGACAGACACAGAGAATACAGCCATGTGAAGACACGACAAGAATTAGAGTTAGGCTGCTACAAGCCAACACGCGAAAAGACAAGTGAGCGTTAAGAAAAACGTCTTCCCCTTCCAAAAGAGCACAGATCTCACCAAGAAATTGGACTTCTAGCCTCCAGAACTGGGGAAGAATGAATTTCTGTTGCTAGAAGCCATCCCCTTTGTGGTCATTTGATAAGGCAACCCCAGGAAACGAACACACCCATTTACATGGTGTCTGTGATTCTGCCCATTCAGAGACCTACCCCATGACCCACGGGTAAATTTCTCTCAACAGAGTACTTGAGAACAGGAACTGTTTCAACTGGACACCTACCACGGGTCTAGTACTGTGCCTTGTTTAGTTGCTATTGTCCCACTCCTGTTCTTGTTATTAATCAGCTGTTGTTAGTAAGTGCTACCGAGTTGGTTCCAACTCACAGTGACCCAGTATTGGATTTCTAAGGCTGTAAATCTTTGCGGGAGCAGAAAGCCTCATCTTTCTCCTGCAGAGCAGCTGCTGAGCTCGAACTGCTGACCTTGTAGTTTGCAGTCTGGTGCCTATCCTACAGATCTACTGTACTCCTTTATTTATCATAGAAATTCACATGCTGAGGACTGTGTTCTGAGTAAGGTGCATCCACACCTTCATTGTCTTCCTTCCCAGTGGTCAAAATCCAATTTCTATGCAAATACTTTAGTCAGACATTTTTATTTTGGAGCAGCAGAAGGCTCTTTGTTTCTTCAATGGGAACATTCCTCCAGAGCAGAAGCAACTTATCTCTGCTTATTACTGAGACTCAAGCGGGGTTAAAGGATTCATCCTAGGTCTCCCAAAGACTGGGAAAATACAAAGAATTCCAGGCAAACCACTGTTCTGTTTCCCAATGGTCACAAAAGGGATGGAAGAGAGAGAGATACAGAGCTTCCTTACTGGGTGACCAGCATTCAGAACACGTATCACGTAAATGTTAACCACCTACACCTACCCAAGGTTGTTCACTGGAAGAAATCACGTCATAGGCTACTGTTTTTATTTGGGGCAAGCTGTTTCTACTTGGATTCCCACAGGTCCGATGAGACTATTTCATGGTGGTGGTGGTTATGTGCCATGGAGTCAGTTCCAACTCAAAGCGACCCTGTACAGGGTTTCCGAAGCTGTAAATCTCTATGGAAGCAGAAAGCCTCGTCTTTGTCCCACAGAACAGCTGTTAGTTTCAAACTGCTGACCTTGTGGTTTGCCGTCCGATTCGTAACCACTATGCTACCAGAGCTCCCTGAGACCGTTTCATAGAGAATGACAAATCCCACAATGTATGTGTGGCTTGTTCCCAATCTTTCTCCAGGTCTCTCTTCAGGTGCCACCTTTTAGAGAAATGGTATCTGACCTCCTAAACCCACGCAGCCTCTTGACTATATATTTCTTCCTAGGACTTAATTACCTCTTGGCCTGGTAGGCATTTTTGTCTGTCTGTATTCACTGCAAGCTTCCTGAGGGGGCAGGGATTTTGTTCACAGCCATTTCTCTAGTCTAATGCACATGGGAGGTGCTCAGCAAGTTCGCTGTTAAATGGACATGTGGCAGAAACCCTCTAGGTGAATCAAGATCTACTTAAGGGTAAGGAGACATCACCAGAGAGTCCCTGGGTGATGTAAATGGTGAATATGCTCAGCTGCCAACTGAATGGTTGGAGGTTCAAATCCACCCACAGGCACCTTAGAAGAAAGTTCTGGAAAATCAGCCATTAAAAACCCTGTGGCACTCAGCTCTGCTACGACACATGTTCAGAATGGATTCCACAGCAACTACGGACTGGAGTAAGTCACCACCTGTGCCCCTTGGGGCAGTAGGGACCGCTTTTCCTACCAGGACACCACCTCCAAATGTGGCCATGTCTCAACCTCACTGACCACAGATGGGCATCTCTAAAGTCAACTGCTCGAACTCTTGGTCCTTCGTTTACTTCAGCATGCCCACTGTGATGTTCAACTCTGGATCTTTATTGAAATGAGGGAGGTGTTTTTCATGAGTTTTAGTGAAAGGCTTCACCAAAGAGAATGTGTTACAACGGAAAAGACATTACACAGAACTACTCCTGGTGCCAGTTAACAGGGTTTTCCGAAACAGAAGCTCTCCCAATGAGATGGACTAACACAGTTGTAGTAACCAACAATGGGTTCAGACTTAACAATTCTGAGGATGGTACAACCGGGCAGTGTTTCATTCTGCTGTGCATAGTGTGTCTATGAGCTATGAGTTGGAGGCACCTGATGATGCCTAACCACCACAACAGGTACCTGCCTAAAGGTACCTGCCTTTGAGCTATGGAAGAATTCACATCAAAGAGTTACTGGGTACTTACTGCTGGAACAAGTGGTTTCCTTTGGGCTGGACGACATCGGCTGGGCACAGAGTTGACAAAGACAGTCTCTCCCATTGAATGTGACTCGGTCTCCGGGTGGAAATGGGCGCCTGGAGACAGAAAGACATCCCCTCAAGGTTATTCCAGTGATTTCATTCCTCCTCCTTACTCCTTAGCGGACCACCAGCCGAAGTATCTGAAATGCAGCCTTAACGAAGCCAGCCAGCTGGACATAATGCAAACCAACCAGTCACTCTAGGGAAGGAGGGAGCATGCACTGGTTCTACGGGTCACCAGATAGCAAAATGGGATGATTTCCCTCCACTCCTTAGTGGAGGGATGTTTCAACAAGTCCCCAAACAAGGCACACAGTAAATTTCCAAATGGAAACTCCTTCAGGAAAAACTATTTTAAATGCCTTGAATTCCTACTCAAGTTTAGAGCTCCTCCCCAGGAGAATGGTTCATGAGTCAAGCATTAACTCTTTCCATTCCCTGGAGTCACGCTGTCATGATGATGCAGAATTACACTTTGTCCGAGACATCTCAATGGGTGGCCTGAATATGTCTCACTGTGTCTGAGATCCCATCTCTTATAAGCGTGGAGAAATACGACACACTGCAAATGAGAAATTGCTGCATAAGAATTAGTATTAGCCTCTTTTCTGAGACACAATTTCCTTTCAAATTAGATATTCAGCAACAACACATTTTGCAAAACATGTCTTCTGCATGTGTGTTATCAATCTCTCCTCCCATTTCAAGAGGCAGACAGCCTGTCTTTTTTTTTAAAAAAGCCATGAATTAATAAACATATGACAATTTCCAAGTCTATTTCTTTGCAATTGGCCAATCTACCAATAATGTTCATTAACATGAGTTTCCAAATGTGTGATACTATCCACTAGGGCATGTAAAAAACAAAACAAAACAACTCACAAGGCAGACATTTTCACATGTGGGTGCCAGAAGCAATACTCAGGGCAAGTCCAAGTTTCTAGACATCATCTTTTCGTTTCACCACTGCTGTCTCCCCCGCACCACCACCCCGCCCCCACTGCTTAAGCTGTGAGCTTGAAACATCTCCACACATGGGCGTGGTACCAGTGATTAAGACTTTAAAATTCTTGCATCCAAGTCAGTCACAAATAGACAAAGATTATGTGGTACCATTATTATAAATTACGGTGTTGGGAAGAATATTAAAAGGACCATAAACTGCCAGAAGAATAAACATCTCTGTGTTGAAAGAAATACAGAATGCTCCTTAGAAGCCATGAGGGCAAGACTTTGTTTCTCATACTTTGAACATGCTACCAGGAGGGATGAATTGCTGGAGAAGAACATTGTGCTTGGTAGAGTGGAGAGTCAGTGAAAAGGAGGAAGACCCTAACAAGACGGACTGGCACAATGGCAGCTGTGATGGGCTCAAGCTTAGTGACAATTGTGAGGATGGGTCTGGCTCTATTGTGCGTAGGGTTGCTATGACTTGGAACTGACTTGATAGTTCCTAAAGAACAACCTAAACTATTATCAGATAAGTCAGGAAAAGATTTATACACAGAAAGAAACTTTATTAGATGGTTAGCAGGGATGGGAGGGGACAGGCTGGTAAATCACTCACTACAGAGCAGATGTTTTGTTGTTGTTGTTGTTGTTAAGTACCGTGGAGCTGGTTCCCACTCATAGTGACCCTACAGAGCACATAGATGCCTATTAATGGGGGCTAAAGGAAAAAGCATGACAAGGCAGTATGACATGACCAATGGCCAGGGAATGCCGGTGGGCCCACTGGCTCATACTCATCACTTAATCCTGAACCTCAGATCTGCTCTGCAAGGGGGCTCTCAGGGAGGTCAGGATCAGGACTAGGGGGAGGCACTTGCAGCAAGTATGGTTACATTTAAGGAGGCCCTCACTCTCAGGTGTTGGCTTTGCACTTGAACCAGCCCCAGTGAGGGTGTCTCTTTAAATTTCATGCCCTAGGGGCCTGGCTTGCTACAGTCTAACCCAGTTCTGCTTCTGATCTAAACTTGTTCTATTAGACTTGGATCCCACTGGGCTCTTCTGTGGGACAAGCTGGAGCCCACTTCTCAACATGGGGTCAGATCTTTTGAACTCTGAGTTTTGTTATTCTATTACTGACCCCTTCCCATAATGGGTGTATTTAATCCATTTACATTCAGTGTAATTCTTGTATCAACTGATTGTTGTCATTTTGCTGTGTGTGTTTTTGCGGTGCTGCCGGTGGTGTCCTTGTTCCACATAATTTTCTGCGTTGAGTTCATTTTGTATATGAGTTTACTTTTCATTTCTGTTGGGTTAATGTTTACTAAATCTTTGTCATACATTGCTCCACTTCCTTCTGTCATTTTCATGAAGTCTCAGAAAGAGACTTGGATTTAGAGTCAGGAAACATCAGCCTGGAAAAGTCCCTTACACTTGGACACTCAGAATCACGCATTCATACCAAAGTAAAACAAGAAATGTCGAGTTGATTCCAACTCATAGGAATATGAGTTCCTGACTGAGTCCACAGAGTTGCTAAGAAGGTTAAGTCACATTGTGGATGAAGCCAATTTGTTGTGGGTAAAGCGGAGCTCCGATTAATGGGAATGACAATGTAGCACTAGACAATGTTGTTTTTGTTAAGTGTTGTTGCGTTGGTTCTGACCCATGGAAACCCTGTAGAGGATTTCTGAGGAGTGGCCGGTAAGTTTGAACCTCTGACTTTGAATTCAAACAATAGTGAATACCTATAATACTGGCCACAGGTCCAGGGACAGGATCTAGTAACTAAATGCCTGACCACTGCTCCAACTTCAAAACAACCATCTTTTAGAACCATAAAAAAACTTAGGATCAGAAGGGCTCTTTAGAGTTTATGTGGGCCATGGTTCCGCAATCTGGCTGCTAACACAATGCTTGGGGACACCTCCCCACAAACCACTAAAACCAGTAAGAGTGTTTGGGTTCCAAAGGGAAGGCAGTTGTTGCTGTTACTAAGTGCTGTCAAGTCCATTCTGACTCATAGCGACCCTCTATAGGGTTTCTGTGGAACAGCTGCTGGGTTTGAACTGCCAACCTTGCAGTTAGCTTGCAGTTAGCAGTCCAGTGCTTACCCTAGAGCCCCCACACCAGGACTCCGAAGGGAAGGTTAGAAATGGGTATTTTTAAAGAACCCCCTCCCCTCTTCCCGAGGATTCAGTGATCAGTGAGGTCTGGGGACCCACTCGCATCTCGCCCAGGAAAAGTTAGTTCACGTAGCTCTCACGTGAGCCCAGGAAACAGAGCTCCAGACTCCAGAGCATGCTGCGAGCTACAGCCCAAAACGGAAGACACCAGCATGAAGCTTTACTTTTGATTTAAAACAAAGAACATTTTACACCATTAAACCAGAATTTTGTGCCAGCCCCTCCCCAAAATTATGGTTGTTAAAGAATGTAATTGAGAAGTGGTCTAATAGCTATGTAAAGCTATTAAAATAATTTTACTATGATTATTTCCTCTAAGAATTACCTATAATTTATCTATCAGTATTATCAGGAGCCCTGGTGACACTGGATGACAAGCACTAGACTACTAATCACAAAGTCAGCAATTCAAACCTACCAGTCACTCCATGGGAGAACAATTTTCAGCCTTGGAAACCCTATGTAAGATATTTGTGAGTCAGAATCCACTTGATGGTGGTGGGTGGGTGATCAGTATAATCTTGTTAATTAATTACATAAAATTACATCTTTCTGGCTTAGAAACAGGATGCTGAGAAACAATACAAAACACCTCCTCTGTTTTTTGTTTAGAAAGGCAGCAACAACTGTCCAACTGAACTTCCAAATGGCATGAGTTTGCTGAATTAGAATACATCAAGACAGTGGCTGGGACTCAAACCATCTTAAACTCCACAGTGGGTAGTCCTCAAAACACAATGGTTTAATCTTCTGACTCACACTTCACGTTTCTCTCTGACTGACCATTTCCATCAAACTGCCTTGTGAAGTCAGACAACCTCTGTAGATGATAATATGCCAGTAAAGCAGAGACTGACAAACTTTTTCTTTTAAAAGGTCAGATCACAAATAATGTGTTTTAGAATTTGCAGAGCATAGGGTCTCTGTTACAACTTCTCAACTGTCTCTAACTTGAAAGCTGCCATATATGATACATCAGTAAATGGGTGTGGGCGTGTTCCAACAAACCTTTATTTTTAGAAAGAGGCGTTGGGTCTCATGGGTGCTTGGGTTATTGCTTAACAACCCCTGCTACAGAGTAAATGAGACTCTTTTAAATGCACACTCACACACATGCATGCCCGCACAAAAGAATGCATGCTTCCAAACAATCTTTCTCTTTCTAAGCAATAACGCTATTTCCCCTTAATGTTGTACATTGTTCCAGATCTTTCAAGACTCAGGAGTTGCTTTCAGATTTGGTTTCAAGCCACCTAAAGTTGGTCATATTACTTCTCAGTAGACATCGTATGCAAAATTTCCCGTTTAAATTATTTTTTGACTAGGGCTGATAATACACCAGGAAGATATGGAAATCTGAGACCACCTAAGAAAAAGGCTTTTTAAAGCTATCACAGCCAAACCTGGTAATACCCAGCTGGGGGAAGTTGTAGGATTTGGAAAGAGAATCCCTTACTTGCAGAGAGTACAGGCAAAGCAGTTGGGGTGGTAGGTCTTGCCCAGGGCCGTCACCACCTCTCCTTCCACGAACTCCCCACAGCCATGGCAGCGTGTCCCATACATGCGCTGGTAGTCAATGGTGCAGAGGTACTCTCCGTTCTTGATGAAGAAGCCACCTTGTGCCAGGTCACAGCCACACACTGAGAGAGACAAGTGCATATCTGGTTATCATCAGCTAAGTGTCTGGGTAGAACACGCCTTCTACTGAAGGCTGCTTGCTTACTTACTCTATGATCTCAATGGTTTGGGGTTGTTTGGGGGCGGGGGGAGTGACTGGTACAAAGAGTCATTTATAGTTGGGCTCTGATTTCTCCCTGGCCTCCCTCCCTCTTTTTTTCCTCTCCCTTTGGGAGTTATGCAATATCTCATACAAGCAAAATTCACTGGCTAGGACTCAACAGCATTTGTGGTATGTCTAAGATTCAAAGGTAATCCAACAGCCTTTGATGGAAGATACCTTTGGCTAAAGCTGTTTCACCTAAGAACAAAGGTGTCCCTGGAGGTGCTATTTAGGAAAGATGCTCACTGCTAGTCCACACATGATTGCTTGGTTTTGGCCCAAATCCTTACTGAACTGAGTGATAAATTCCACTGCACCAAAAGCAGTAGCTGAAGTTTCCAGTTTCCACTTGTCACACAAGGGAAATACTTTCCCATGGCTATGAAAAATTCAGACACTTAATTTTCTCTTTGTGGAGCAAATATGAGAGCCAATTATATATATATGAGGGGACTTTTAAAAGGTCATGGAAAAATTCCATTATCATTTAACCCCATCTTTTCATGAACTTTTAAAGCTCCCTATATGTGTATGTGACACATATATGCATAAGGTTCTGTGTATAGATACTATGTACATGTCTATATAAGCACACACACGCATGTGCACATGTACATGTGTGTATATATATGCATGAGGAGGCTTCTAAAAGTTCATGGAAAAATAGAGCTAAAAACCAATATAACTTTTCCATGAACTTTTTGAAGCCTCAAAAAATAACACCTAGTTGATAGGGACAGGCAATTTAAGACCCTGGCTGCCAAAAATGGGAGGCACAAAGTGGCTGACTTATAAACTCCAAGAGTGTGCTTACTTTCAGAATGATGTGGAAAGGGTAGAATCCCCACTGAAGAGTTTTCCTCTTGTCCAGATGAAGAGTGATGGGGGAGGATGGGGATAGGATTCTTTTGATTCAATAGTGAGTAATTGTTACCATGACTAATTGCGATTGCCACAACTGTAAATAAAGAAGATGTGAAGCAAAAAGGGGGGAGTAGTCAATTTTTCATTCAAGGAACAGAGGACCCGAGACCATCGGGAGGGGAAAAAAAAAGACCTGGAGTTAAGACAACCAACACACTTAGAATTTCTTAAGCTGAGAGAACTAAAGAAAAAATTCAAGCCTCCAGTTGCATACTGAAGATTTCTGAATGACGCAGAAAGCATCAAAAGAAGATGACGGGTATACACACAGTCACTATGCCAAAAAGAACCAACTATTTCAAGAGGTAGCATAAGATTAAGAAAGATGGTTTTAAAAGAGGTCCATGTTGTACTGAAGGCACTGATGAAAAACAAAGCCCCAGGAATCAAGAGAATATACCAACTGAGAATCCTACCAGGGAGATGCAGTGCTAGAGGTGCTTGCTCATCCACAACAAAAAATTCAGAAGCCAAGCTACCTGGCCAGCTGACAGGAGGAAAACCATCCCTGTACACATTCCACAGAACGTGAAAAAATTTTTGAACGATTATCTTTAACACACAAGTAAAATTTTGCTTCAAAATACAATTCAAAAATGGCTATAGCAGTACATTGAGAAGAAGCTGCCAGAAATTCAAACCAGATTCAGAAGAGGGTGAAAATGAGGAATGTCACTGCTGATGTCAGAAGAATTTTCACTGAAAGCAGAGAATACCAGAAAGAGCTTTACCTGTGTTTTACTGACTACACAAAGGCTTCCAACTGCGTGCCAAGAATTAGAGTTCCAGGACCCCAATTGTTCTCTTGGTTGTACATAAACCAAGAGGTAGTCATCCAAACAAAACAACAGGCTATCATGAGGTTTAAAACTCAGGACAGGAGTGAGTCAGAGTTGTATCCTTTCACTATACTATTCAATCTGCATGCTGAGCAAATAACCCAAGACGCTTGGCTAAATGAAGGGCCCAGCATTAGTATTGGAGGATGGTTCATCAACAACCTGCGCTATGCAGATGATATAACCTTGCTTGCTGAAAGTGAAGATGACTTGAAGCACTTACTGATGAAGATCAAATACCGGAGACTTCAGTATGAATCTTCACAACTGGACCAATAAACAACATCATGATAAAAGGTTGAAGCTCTTAAGAATTTCACTTTACTTGGATCCAAAATCAATGCCCACGGAAGCAGCAAACAACATCTCAAGCAACATACTGCATTGGGCAAATCTGTTGCAAAAGATCTCTTTAAAGTGTTAAAAAACAAAGATGTCACTTTGAAGACTAAGGTATACCTGACCCCAGCCAAAGTATTTTCAAATGGCCTCATATGCATATACAAGGAATCCTGCTGTGGTACTATAGGATAATCACTTGACCTTAAGGTCTGTTTGGACTGCAAGGTTGGCATTTCAAACTCACCAGATGGTCCTCAGAAACCTTAAACAGGGTTGCTATAACCTCATATGCATGCGAAAGCTGGACAGTGAATAAGGAAGTCTGTAGAAGAATTGATGCTTTTGAGTTATGCTGTTGGGGGAGAATATTGAAAGTGCCATGGGCTGCCAAAAGAACCAACAGGTCTGTGTTGAAAGAGGTGCAGCCAGAGTGCTCCTTGGAGGCCAGGATGGCCAAACTTCTTCTCTCATACTTTGGACATATTGTCAGTAGGGACCAGTCGCTGGAGAAGAATATCCTGTTTGGTAAGGTGGAGAGTCAGAGAAAAGAGGAAGACCCCCAACGAGATGGATTGGCAAAATGGCAGCATCAATGGGCTCAAGCGTGGTAACAATTGTGAGGTTGGCCCAAGATCGGGCAGTGTTTCGTTCTGTTGTACATAGGGTTGCTATGAGTTGGTACTAACTCGATGGCACCTAACAACTACAACATAGGTTGGAACTGACTTGATGGCACTTAACAACATAAGCGTTCAAAAGCTAGATGATGGATAAGGAACACTGAAAAAAGAATGGCTACCTTTGAATTATGGTGTTGGCAAAGAACATGAACATACCATGGAATACTACAAGAATGAACAAATCTGTCTTGGAAGAAGTACAATCAGAAGGTTCCCTAAAAGTGACGACAGTGGAACTATCTCATGTACTTTGGGCATGTAATCAGGAGGGACGGTCTCTGGAGGACATCATGCTAGGTAAAGTGGACATCAAAACAGAGGCAGATCCTCAGTAAGATGGACTGATACAGTGGCTGCAACAATGGGCTTAAGCACAGTAGTGACTATGAGGAGGCCGCGGGGCCTGTGGGGTTTCATTCTGTTGTACTCAGGGTCACTATCACTAACAGTCAGAATCAACTTGATAACAATAAATATCATCATAATAAATGGAGAAAAGATGGAATGTGTTATAACTTCATTTTGCTTATATCCATAATACTTGCAGAAGCAACTCTCAAGAAATCAAACGACATATTGTATTATGCAAATCTGCTGCACAAGCCTTCTTTAAAGAGCTCAAGAGCAAAGATATCAGTCTAAGGACTAAAGTGCACCTGACCCAGGTCAAGGTTGTTTTAGTATGCATGTGAAAGTTGTACAGTGAATAAAGACCACAGAAGAATTGATGCATTTGAGCTATGTCTATATATATATACATAACACAAACATATGTCTATACATACATACATATTACATATAGTGTCTGATAGAAAAAAAAAAACAGTTAAATGAAACAAGAAAAGGGGCATGTTTAAGATAAAACTGTTGGTCATAACCTCAATAAACAAAAAGAAGGATGTTTTATTGTGTCTGGATTTTGGCATTTCTTTCAAGATTGTGCAGCTGTGGATTTCAGAGATGGTGCAAACCTGCAGATTCTGGGATGCCAGGGGGTTGGACCTATTCTACATGTTCAGACAAGACCAGAACAGATCACAACAGCATCCAACACAAAGGCTAAAGCAGTTCGTAAAAGGTAAGATTTTACAGTGCCAATATGGAATCTCCAAACTTGACCTCGTATCTCCGAGCATAGGGTAATGCCTATATAACTAAGGACCTTAAGAAGGGATTCTTCTCTTGTGTTCCTGCAAGCAGTTTGAAACTGACACTCAGTTGGATGGGGAGAGAGTGAGTTCAATCATGAAGGTGCTTTACTGAGCACCTACTAAAAGGGCTTCTGGGGTTCCACTGGTTATCAATGCACCTAGATGGACTAGTGCTGAGCACAGGAAAAGTCTCCAGGGATCTACTCCTTCACTCCGGAAGAGCAGACTTTACTAACTTCAAGCTAGTAAAATTCAAGGTGACAGAGAACCTACAAAAAAATTTTCCACTGGGGATTCATCTTTGTTTAGATCAACACTCCACAGCTATGATCTCTTTTGCAATTTATAATCAAGAAACCCAAGATTATGGCTGGCATCCATCACTCCTGAAAATGACCACCCTATAAATAATACTGGAAAATAACTCGGGCACCACCTGCTGCTTCCTCTAACCTGCCAGAGCCTCCTTCTGCCCCACTGTTCTCACACCTGCTTCTTCCTTACCAAATGTGCCCTGGAACCCAAACCTGGACTAGTCTCACTCTGACAGCAAATCCCACCTGCAGCAAGAGATGCCATTCTACGGCCAACAGAACACCTAAGAGATTTTGCTTCAATACATTTGTATGTATAGTTTATTTTTCCACCATGCTACAAGGTCATTGGAGTCCTGGTGTGGTGCTGTGGGTTAATGCGCTAGACTGCAAAGCCATTTGAACTGCAAGGTTGGCTGTTCAAGCTCACCAGCTGCTTCTCAGAAACCTTTTACAGGGTCGCTATGGGTCGGAACCAACTCGACAGCACTTAACAACAACAAAACAAGGCAATTTGGCTTCCTGGTGTGGTGCTGTGGGTTACTTCACTGGACTGCAAAGTTGGCGGTTCAAGCTCACCAGCTGCACCTCAGAAACCCTATACATGGTC